AATAATAATAGCTGTTCTGGATATGAAGAGAGTGACAAGTTGTTGTTGGAGCCTGGGAGCTCTAAAAAGCAGACAACAAGAAGAAATTATATGACGAGTGCATGGGTTGGGATGTGGATGGGTAATGGTTGAAGAGAGGTGGAAGTTTTGAATGTTGGGTTGGATTGGTTATAAGTGGGACTTGAATTGAAATCAACAAAAATCAAAATAAAGAAATCTGGGACATTCAAAGTGATGGGTCTAAAGATCGATTGAATTTTGATTTGTGTATGCGTTGGGCGGGAGAATAGATGGGCGACGTCATGGAGGTAGGACCTCGGTAACTCTTTAGCACATTTCTATATCTTGATCTCAATTGTTTTAGGACTGGAAACTCGCAATCTTCTGCAATTGGCACGGATGAGTCCGTGTCAGAAAACATATTTCAGAAGGCGAGATCACATACTGTTTCTTGAATACAGTCCCTAGTCATAGTCTTTTTTGTACTTTCTATAGTATGTGTAAGTCCGATTTTGCGATCATTTAAGTAACATCCACTTACTGATCCTTGGGTACAGACCTTAATCATAGTTTTTTTTGCAGTTGCTTCAGTGTATGCAAGTCCACCTTTCTGATATTTGAAAAGCACGCTACCAGAAGATGTTGAAGGCTGCATTGATATCAAGTAAAATAGTAAATTTTTGCCGATTTCCGAGAACTATAAAACAAGTAATTTGAGCATTGAAGAGGATCGTTAGTTTAATAAAGAGTAAAATAATTTTAGTCAGTTGCTAATCTGAAAATTTAGTACATACATTTCTAACTCAATTTAAAACTATTTTTGTTTATATTGTATGTGATTCGGTGAAGAAAAGCTTTCAGCATTTAAACTGACTTCGGGAACACGTTCTGATGAATTGATTGAACTCAAGTTCTATTACATCCTTTATCATTAATTGTACATAATGATATAGTACTCTTCGTCTAAATCGGGAATGTTGAGTATTTCTCTGATGTGATCGTTTGGTATTAGGTTCCATCCAGCAATTCTAACTAAAGTGCTCAGAATAAGTATTTTGAGATAAGAAGCAGTTAGTCTTTCTATTGTTCATTCCTTTTCATTGTCACTAAATACCAAGAAATTACTTACTGCTCATATTTGGATTATTATACAAACAGAAACTCGGTGATCTATGGTGTATGTGCTTGTATTATTTTTATTGTCACTGATGTTGAAGAATTTACTTATTATTCACGATGGAATGATTAGGCAAACATGAAATCTTATATCTATGATGTCTATATGTATTAGTTTCAGTTAGTAGGGCTCTTCTGCAAATTGTAAAGGAAGTTGATTTACATTCTTAAATATAACCAATTTATACCTTAACAGTGGTAGAATCTACACAACTCTGAGTAACTCTGAGTAAATTACTTCTACAATAAATTTATTTTTATTCAATGATATCACTTCTTCCACTTAATTTTGCTTCAGTCATTGACTTGCTTCTGTTAAGTGCTTCAATATCATTAAATATTGTATATAAAAATTTAAAATAAAATAATTTTGTTTATATATATTTGCATAACAATATATCAATATTCGTCAGTGTCTCCATTATAATAAATCCATTAGCAGAATTATGGTGAAGACGTTTCAATTCGGTATCAGAAACGTGTCAAGCGATTACTTAATATGTCTGATACCTGACCATAAAAAGGTAAATTAAGAGTGTAGCGCCTACGCTAGGGCGGACCACTGCTAAAGTCATTTACAATGACAAGATATAACAATAGAAAAATCTAATGTCTGAACAGACAAAAAAGCGATAATCAAACATAACTAATTATGTATGCGACACATGAAATTTTAATGAAATATAGAATAAAAAAAAAAATAAAAAAAATATAAAAAAAAAATAAAAATGAAAAATAAAAAAATATAAATAATTAATAATTTTATTGACAGCATCAAAATCTAAACATGTCCAAAAAATAAAAGAAGAAATTTAATAATTATAAACGCACAAATGAGTAAGTGAATTTATGATAATTAAGAGAAAAAAAATAAAATAAAAGATATTTGTATATATATATAAAAACAATTCTTCCAATAAAAAGTCAATAAATGCTAAAAGAATAGATTAAAAATTATTTTTCGACAAAGAGTAATTTTTTTTTAATAAATTTCAGTTCCACTACTGGCCATTCTTTCACACAACGAATTTTTACTTGCCCCTCTACAGATTCGAGGGATTCAATGCTAATTTTCTGTTTTCAAAGTTGGAACTGATTAAGTCGATGTTGACGCCGATGTCGATGTCGATGTGGATGTCATCGTCAAAGTTATGAGAATTTAATGTCAAATTACGAGTATTTGTGATTTTTTCCAACTTTCATGTATTGAAGTTGTGCTCAAGTAGGCTTTCGCATATATTTCATTTATTATTTTTTGTCATAATCATCAACTTAATTATTAATATTTAAATTTTTCCCGCTACTCTTTCCGTGGTTGATCAGATCTCATTTGTATTGCAGAATGTATGGATGAGATAATGTTTATGGTGTGTTTACTTGGCTGACAGTAGCAATAGATGCTGGAGTGTTTCTCGAGTGCCCTTATGGCTTATTTGCATATAGTGGGCACTTCGGTAATTGAATTTGGTTAGTTGAACATGGAAAAGGGACACATTTGGTTGAGTGAGAAAGAAATGTATGTTGAAGCTCTATTTTAGGGTGCCAAACTGATATTTTACTTACAGTGGGACTTGTTCTACTTTTGTGTAGATAAAAAACTTTAATAAAATATTTGGAAGTGTTGGTTTTAATTTTAATATAAATCTATAATATATATTAATATTTAATTTATGTTATATGTATATTAATATTTAATATTTATTATATATACATTAATATTTAGTGTATTTTATAAACACATTAATACATTAATGTTTAGTATATATTATAAATATATTAATATTTAATATATATCATATATGTATAAATATATAATAAATGTTATTTTTATATTAACGTCATTGTTGGTTTCTAATATTGATTTCTAATAAAAATAAAAAAAAAGTCTGTAAAATATTGTTTATGTTTGTTATTTATTGCAAAAATTACTTTCCAAAAATTGAATTTAAACAGAATAAAAAAAATATATACCAAATTAACATAGAGACATTGTAACTCGTAACATTCCATAGGGTCTTTTAGTATAGTTGTGTTGTTTCAGATTAAACACAATATGTCCTCGCTTAAACTTCGATTATAACAGAGACCCACAAGAATAGATTGTGAAGCAAAGTAGATTTATAAGGTAGCAATTTACATGGATGATTCCAAAATCAATGGTAACATAAAAACGGGATTCCACTTCATTGATCTACATGCACAGAAATCGTATCATATCTGAATATATACAGCAATTATTCAAGTGCAAAAACATGGTTATTTAAAATTAATGCCATGCCATGAATCATTGGATGCACAAATACAATAATCTCAGCGTACGTATTTTAGTATTTCAAAAGAAAATGTTCACTTTTCAATGGAATGAAAGTCTACAGTGTCATACACAATCTAGCCTCTAGTCTAACTTCTGTTTCAGAAATCTGAATAGATCCATATCCTCTAAGTTGATAAAGCAGCTTAAGTGAAATAATAGGAGATAATTATTTTTTTGGTTCTTGTTCATACAGATAAATTGCGAAGCAATCATATTGATGTGTTGACTAGATTCGTGACCTCCTTCATAGAACCTCTCTCTTTTAGTGTTCCTGTTTGATCGTTGAATCTCAATACCTTTTTGTTTTATTGATGACAGCTTCGTCATCACTTCCTGCTGCGATTAGTTATAGACAAGGGTTGATGTACGCTGACTTCTTACGAAACCTTATATGAATTCATTAAGTTTTACCATATTGACCAGGTTAGGAATCAAAAGGGACAACAAACTCCAAATCTAAAACAACAAATTTAATATAAAAAAACAAACTAATAGTGTTTAAAATAATATCAGATCTCACCGGACAATGAACTTTAAAGGAACAAGAAGCTAAACAGGAACTTCGTCATCGGATATTTTGTTTTTTATGTCTCAACAATTTGTACTTCAAGGCCAAAGTCTATTCCAAATATTTTCGGATACAGAAATCATATCATCTCTGCATAGATATTTTAGTGTTCTAAGCGAAAATATTTTCTTTTCTTAATAAGGAGAAGAAGCTTACAAGTAGTTAGGCTCCAATTGAAATTTTTTCCATCGTGTACGTTTCGCCCAAGTTAAGACAGGGCAGTATGCTGTCTATATAATTCATTTTAAAGCAATAAAAGTGACTATCTTTTGGTTTTTGGTTCTGTAGGTAAAGGGGACTCACACAGGTATAGGCCTTGAATATAATCTCGCTTATGAGTTCCTGTTTTATTGATAGAACCTTCTTTAGCAGTTTTTGTTGTATTGACAGAGCCTCTCTCATCAGTTGTTCAAATTTAATAAAACGGAAGAAAGTGAAAGTTTCCAAAATAATTTTAGATCTCACTAGATACCGTGCTTTAAGACGATATGGTGCTTGTCCGGATAATTCTTGTGAAAAGACAATAGAACACAAGCGATACCACTGCTCCGACTCTTAAAACTTCTCATTTCACTCTATAATATCTTCAGTCTAGAAATTTACCAAGTCTTCATGGTTCTTCATTAAATCTGAAATTTCCAATTCTTAACCCTTTTGATGTCAAAAAGGGTTTCAAATAAAATCAAGAGGGTGGGCTTTTCTTTCATCTATCGGTACAGTTTTAGGAAAAGTCTTGGTACAGAAAATGCTTGGATGAATCAAGGTCTCTGCACGGGAAAGTGCTGCCAAATTATTTTGTTTAAAGGAAAATTTGATCATCGATTATGGAGATTTGATTTGCAAAGGTTTAATGGGATAGGTTGTTAAAACCATGGGTTATAAAAAGAAGTAATGTTTTTTGCTAGGCAGATTAGCATGTTCGGAAGTAATTACGTCATTATAGCGACGTGTTAATTTAATCTGTTATTGGAACCTGTTAATTGTTGTCTTAATGCGAATAAGTTATCTATCTGGTTGAAGGTTGATTACGATTGAAGCTTCAACGAAAAGGTTTAAAGCTGATGGATATGGTTTGCAGCTGTGGTGTTGATGTTTCTTGAAATGTTGCTGTTGATGTTTTAAAATGATATCAAAACGGATACTTATCGTATAATACACACTCTAGTATTGAATCGTTGGTACAATACTCAGATCTATAACCGAATTCTGAGTCTGAACATGGAAGAAAGTATGTGTTTTATTCAGCACTTGATGTTACTATGGTGCCATTCAACCATTTTAACTTCGCTTCGACTGTTGTTACGGAGTGATTGGGGACTGAGTAGTTGTAATATATTGAGTATATACAGTGATGTGTTTGTTGTTTCTTTAGCTTATGGGACGATTGCATTAATATACGAAATAGTTAAGTCTATAATTGTATCCATATTGCTGCTTAATGCTGTGATACTGCTTACATAATTGGCAGTTTACAGAAATATATTATCGGATGCACTTAAAGCGTTTAAGGAAAAAAAAGCCTCGATTTGAAGAAAAGCGATATCACACAAGTCAACAGAAGTAAGCCACTGTTTCGGATAAATTATATAACTAAACATGATATAAGGAATATAAGTGTGGCCGGATCAATATTAGATAGTGATTGAAAAACCACTAGCTAGCTGAAAAACAAAAAGAAATTCGTTGGGTATCACATGAATTCGTGCTGGACGTTGATTTCATTAGAAATCCTTCGTTGGGTGCATTCTTAATATTTAAGGAAGCACGAAACCTTGATTTGAGGTTAGGTCGACACACGATAATTGTTCATGACATACGGAATGCTTAGTAGAGGTGACTGCAGATTACTACCAAATGAACGCATGATGTCTATATGGAAGGCTTGATGGAATGCATCAGAAACTTCAGAGCAACACACGAATTTGTCCTGTACGTTGATGTAATTAGATATAGAAATTTCTCATCGGATGCACTCCAGATGTCTTAAGGAGCATGCATTTATAGATGACTAGACGGAATGAATGGGTAACATACAAATATGTCCTGGATGTTGGTTTCATTAAAATATGCAAGGCTATTTTCTAGCTACTTTCTGATGAGGTATGGATCCTGTAAGGGAAGGGTTCTCTCTGATTTACCGAATTCTGTCTCTGATTTTGAATTCTGGCTCCATTTTGTTTGTGAATGTTCCCTCTACAATAAGATCCAAAACTGGAAGAGTTTGCACTTATTATATTCAATTACCGTCATGCATTGGTTGAATTTTTGGCCCATTACTGTTTGCGGTATTCGAAGGGCTTCGTTACTCTCCAAGATGGATTGATATGTTTGTTGGTATTCATATTCAAAAATCCTACAGGAGCTTTTAGTTAAAATTTGATTAGAGGTAATTGATTATAATTTGATTACCTTAGAAAATTCATAACTTTGCTCCACTGTCACTCAACCAATTAGAGTTCCTGAAGATGAAAAATATTACTGTTGCTGTGCAGCGCTTAAAATTATCTTATAAAAAAAAACAAATAAAATTTCAAAATAAATATGTAAATAAAAAAATGAATTCTAATTAAATAGAATAGTGCTTGAATATTAAAAGGAAAAATAATAAATTTGAGTGCAGCACTGGCTCATGCGGTTATGCAGCACAAATGTCAATGAGGTTTGTGGCAAACGATTTTTCACTACCAACAACTTCACCCAGAATAAATTACGACTATTTATTGAACAAAAAAAAAAAATTGTTTTAAATATTATCTATAAAATTTTATATATTTTTTCTGGTTTTGTAGAAATTCTAATTGTTGGGCTTAACAGCCAATTGGGAGGTCAGAAGTTGAAAATTAAAAAAAAAAATAGAAAAAGTGAAAAACGTGACTTCCCAAGAGCGCAACAGTAACTAACAAGTGCTTTTAACTGTTAACGCATAATTATTAACAATTTTTTTATTAACTATTATTTTTTTTTTAATAATTTTTAAAAAAAAAATTTTTTTTTTAACATTTTATTTTTAATAATTTTTTGTTAACATTTTTCTGTTGTTCAATTTTATATTGATGAAATATGTTTATATTAAAACCTAAAATAATTTAAATTAGGCAATGTCTGTCTGTCTGTCAAGAAGGCAGCATTGCCTTAGCACCTTTGTGTGCAGCGCTTGGAGTGCTTCTTCTTGTATTTGTGCTTGTTAAGATTTTATTGCAGATAATTTAATAAGAAAAAAAAAAGCAGAACATGGCACCTGCCTGCATTTTTGAAACAAAACTCATTGTAATTTCAGAAACGTACATAAACAGAAATTATTTGTAATTTATGATTAATAATTCAAAACAACTTAAAAATGTGGCAACCATGTTTGGTTTCATACGAGTGCATATCAGCAAAGATTGTATTTGTAGTATCTTTAATTTTACTCTTTTAATTTTCGTAGTACTTGAGGCATATCTGCCATCAGAACATGTTTCAATTAAACTTTTTACTGTGCACTGCAAGCGACATGAAGGAGGGGGGAAATATTAAATATACTTACGCGTAGTTGCACGCGTCGTACGCACTCAACGCGGCACCACATATGCAAGCGTTACGGGCGACACTGGTTATACGCACCCCTGAGAATGGAGCTAAGCCACTCGTATATGTTGAAAGATGAAAACCTTTGGAATATTTATATTAATTTTATTATAAATAGTTTTAGAGAGGGAGCGAGGGGACAAATATATACGCGGTTTAAGTAAATAATGAAAACCTACTTTGATTTGTATAACTAGAATCCTTCACTTACTGACAATGCAATCCCTTAATTAAGAACAATGAATATGAATTGTGTGACACCCTCTTTAGTGACATCTCTCTGAATTACTTTATTTTATTTTGGCATATTCAGTTCACTTTTAAAAAATTTTATATATTAAAATATAACTCGAACTGACGTTTTTGAATATGAACTTTTTAGAAACCATAGCACCATTTATTCCATTGCTCTACTATTTTCTCTGAGGGATTAAAGTCCCTTCAACATTCGTAGATATTTGTTGGATTTGCAATACTACTAAATATGCATTTCAAAATAAAAAACAGGAGTAGAAGGTTCCATTTTTTTGAATTACCATGTCAGCAGTGACATTAATTAGACACTAATTAGTTCAAATGCTTTGATTAAAATATTGTCGAGAAGGATTTCCATAGAAGTTGTCAGTAACTTTCACTTAACTGAAAATTAATATTTTCCAAGTAAAATGTTAGACATTTCGTACTATACCAATGGATTTGTTTTCTAATAACGGTTAAACTAAAAAGAAAAATTGGTTTATTATAAGCACTTAATAATATACTTCTTGAAGTTACATAAAAAATAAAATCTATAGTAGACCAATAATAAAAATAGAAAAGCAGATAGAATTAAAAATAGAATTACAAAAAATAGAATTACAAAAAATAGAATTATAAAAATTAAAAATATAAAAAAAAAAATGAAAAAAAATTTGATTATTTTTTAGTTATTTGCGAAATCTGACAGACTTACTAACACCGCGTTATTAAATCTCAGAATAGTTACAAGCTCCTCGGGGAGATATGCAGATCTGAGGTCAATTATTGCTTAGTCTAATGAAATGATAAACAATAATCCGCAAAGAGGGGTTTTGTAGAAACCTCGCAGTTAATAGAGAGTAAAAGTTCTCAGGTGCACTGACTCAACTCAACTAGCCTCAACATATATATAGTTAAAAAATTATACATATTATAAAAATAGAATAGAATTGAAAACATACTATCAATGGATCTAGAAGGTGAAATTCTTGATTCAACAACAACTTTCGAAAGGTTAACACTTTAAAAGGACTAGGAATTAATTGACTGATCCACAAATTTCAAAAGGAGTATGAAGTATTCGAAACGAATACTTCAAAAACGAATGTTGACTCTAAGATTCTTCTAGTCTAATATAGAATGACTGTAGGAGTGAAGATGGCTTTTAAATTAAAAAATATAATAAATAATTTAAATAATTTTATATAAATATTTTCTACCATATAAGACATATCTTAATATAAATGATTAAAAATAATTTCGGTTAGCTTGTCTTTATGAATTCCATATCGAGATTTCATAGGCCGTTCCTTTAATGGTTTAGCTCACATAACATATATATGGCTGCCCTGAAATTTTTATGGCAATATTTTTACATTCAGATTGCATTTAGTTATTGTTTGTTATTTTCCTTTATAGGAAATGTGGTGTAGGAACCGTCTTGAGTTCTGATTGCTATCGTATTTATTTTTTAAGCATAGACTGATGTTATTTATTGTACCATATATATACAACATTAAGCTCCAGAACCGTCTTACAGTCAAATTTGAGTATATTTCTATGGAAGAGTATAAAATATAGAGTATGGAAACATTGAAAAATTATATGGTTCTGGTACAAGTATTACGCTAACTTTGAGTGACTTGAGTAGAGTGTCTGTAATGTCCAACGTTTGAAGTGTACCAGTTCAGTCGAAACAATAGTTTATTGAATAATATCAGCATTAATGAGAATATATTTATTGTTTTTTTGTATTGAATTATTATTTTAAGGATTTTCGTATAGACAGCCACTTTTATGTATTTTAGTATCTTCTAAAGTGAGGAAGGCCAAGGCTCACACTGGACTGTAGTGCCAAATATGAAGAAAAGAAGAGAAGAAGAAGTACCTCCTAAATAAGTCCATAAAATTTTAATCTATATTTTGCAGAGATATTAGTACCAATTTTTCTTCGAACAATAAATTGAAAGGATTTATTTTTATTCGTTTCTGACTTAATTTCATTGTCCTTATGCTGAGTGCCCCTACCACAGATAAGTGCAGGATAAGGATATAGACTTGAATTGAGTGTACTAACGCTGATAGAGGTTTGTTTACATAACCTCTTCGATGTGATCACATCATTTGCACAATTTTAATAATTGCATTTCATTGATTTTCCTCAATATAATTTCTTTTAATGATTCATTTTTCAATATTTTTTCTTTCAATATTCTGTTTTTCTTGCAATACGAGTACTCGAATGCCTTCTGGGTTGTTCTTGTAATTTCACTTTGAAGTGACACTTTGGCCGGCTTCGATACCAAATGCGAGTTTGTAGGAATAGAGTGTCTTGCACTCTTCGAAGGTACAATGCGACCGGGCAAGTAGGTATGCTATATGGTCTACTCGCATGGCATATTTAGCAGTACAAGTACATGAGTCCAATGCAAGAGTGGCGATATGCCATAACACTTATCTAAATTGCTCTTGTACTGTTCAAATATTTATACTTACATGGAATTACATACATGATAAATAGGTTGGGCTTTACTTTGATTTGTGTACTTTTGTTTGTTCTCCACTTGGTGAGCTGGTAAGTGTGAGCTTTGGGAAAATTTTACTATAATTCCGATCACAATAGATATGACATCTGCAGAGTCTTAACTGCACTGCACTAACGAAACATGCAAGCGGGGGAAAGCACAATAAAATATTGTATCTAAAAATGCATGTGTTTCTCTTTGTGACATTATAGAAATACAATTCACTTGAAAATTAGCAGTGTTGTTGGTCTTTGTTATGACTATTCTGTGCAATTACACTGGTAACACTTATGTTCTCCAATTGCGTATGTATCTAGCTGGATATGTACAAGTATGTCAGTGTAATATTTTATTCAATATCAAAGTATATATCCCTACAGTGTTAGAAAGTTGTTTGTATTTCTTTTTTTTTTTTTTTTTTTTGATTTGATTTGATTTGAATAAGAGAAGTGATTTAAGTAATTTTATTAGCATTTACTATAAATTATAAAAATATTTACATAAAGTCAGATAGAATATCTTATACAATTTTAAATAAAGGCAATCGCATATTCTGTGTTCTATGTTCTATTTAACTGCCATTCATTCTAATGGGTCTGTGTAATTAATAACATTTTGATAAATATGCAAAGGTGGCCGCTGGTCATAATCGCTTGGTTTTATTCTTAACAAATATTTAGTATATAATTTTTATTCTTTTTTCGAATTATTTAAGATATATTTTTGAGTTGGAAATTTTTTTGGGGTTTGTTTAGATCAAACTTGTTAGTATATCACGAAGGGCCCCTGGCATTTATAGGCTCAAAGTTTGACTGCTTGTGTTACACAAAGTGTTTGTGACTGTCTCGTGCTTTGGCTGGCAAGTGTAATTATTTTCTATGTAAATTTAAGGTTTTTTGTTAAGCCTTCGAGCCAATAAAAATTTCAAATTTACTTGAAAATCACAAACTAGTTGATGCCGTCAAATAAATTTACGATAAACTCAGCCTGACATTAACTTGGGTTTGGATGAGAAGCATTTATTGCTGCCATTGTATGGGCAAATCATTAATTTGAAAATACCTCGAAGGCAGTTTATTAATCAACTCAAATATTTAAAAAGGCTTTAAAGTCTTCGCCATAATATTTTT